ACAATACTATATTCTACCATTAAAAGTAAAAAATTACAAATATTTTTAAACCATTATTTTTCATATATTATGTTTCAGCTTGGGTCTAATTGTCCACGCTCAACTGACGTTGGCTGTAATTGGCCACGGCCCCTTCGGTTGTGGCAAGCTTCGGGGCCACTTCCTGGAGTCGTGGAGTTCTTCCATTACTATTACGGTACATTTCATTAAAGCGTGTTTTTAAAAAAGTTTTGTATAAATACATTTCACCCCAGAGGAGAACATCAGTCACTCGACTTGTTCAGGAGGAGGGGGGGGTGCTCTGCAATAATTTATTAGCCGATACTGCTGCTGCTCCTGCTGTTTAATCCCAATTTCACAAATTTTAAGAGATTTGTTTCAGGATTGCGATAACTATGGCCGATACCAGTTACCTTGTAGGGTAACTACTGTACAGTTTTAACAGAGGCACACAACGGAGACACTCCATGCAGGCACACCCGAGTCTGGAATCGAACCCAGGTGGCTTTATGTGGTTGTGATGAACAACAAGTGGTTGGCCCGTTGTGTCCGCCACCCGAATTCAAACTGGTGTCCCGATCAAATAAATTGATTTTGGCTCTGGAAATGGGGGGTGGGCAATCAAACAAACAAAAATCCCCGAATCTTCGAATGAAAGTCACCCGGAGTGAATCTTCTGCTGGATTAATCCGTAAACTCGCCCCCCCTCTCCCTTGCAGGCAAATGTCCTCTCGCATTAGCCGCTTATTATTCGGCTCCATTACAATTGCAGTTCTGAATGCAAAACCAAGTAAAGAAATCGATCATCTTAAGCTCGAGAAGTCTCGCATCCTAGCGATGAATTATGCGAATCGTCGCGATTCGGCGATTCCGTTTGGTTGCGATTAGATTCCAGAATTAAGCTTGTTACATTTACACACTCACGCAAAGACAAATATCCCGCGGCACCTGCCCCGACAGCCTTAAGAGACTGTTGGGGCAGGTGCTGTTAGCGAACACCTGGCTTGGTGAATGAGTTATTGTGTGTGTGAGAGCTTGAGAGGGTGGGTAGGCAGCTTGTGAGTGATTGATTGGTAACACATTCCTGCGGAGGGAGCTGGTAGGAACATTGGGTTGCTCGGTCAATGGCCAGGGTCAACGGCGGCGTGGTGTATTCCGCAAATATGGCCGACTGTGAGGGCGGGCACAAGCCGGCGTGAGTAGGTTAAACGTTGAGTTTTATAAGGGCACAACGGGGTGACCAGCCCCTCCCCACCCAGCCCCTCTCACCCCCCACTCTCCCCACCCAGCCCCACCCAGCCCCTCCCCACCCTCTCCACCCCTCCCACCTCCTACCCAGCCTCACCCTCCCCACCCAGCTTCTCCCCACCCAGCCCCTCCCCTCTCCACCCAGCCCCACCCCTCCCATTTTTGGATGCACGATGGGACGGACGGACACAATAATCCCCTGTGGGCTGGTGTAACCAGGAGGTTCCTACCAATATAAATATTCTGATTAATTTGTACGTTGGTATCTGAATTCAATATTTGGACAACAGAACGTGTATTTACATTCGTATTCATGCGTGTTCATACACGAAGTGTATTTGTTGGGGTGTCTGTGTGTGCAACTTCTACCAACAGTCTGTTCAGAAGGGTGCACAAGGCGCGTGCGAGTGGTTCGTGTGCTGGGCTCCACTCTGATTCGTGCACAGCGGAGCACGTGACGTCCAGGTGAAGTCAGCCAAATAGCTGCGTTCTTGCAACGCTCAAGATGCCCGAAGAATGGCCTCGTACGAGAAGATTGCGCAGGAAGACATTGACATGGTGAGTGGACCGAGTGTCGCTGTGTGTGTGTAGATTCCTGGGTGGGGAGCAGGCAGGGCTGTCGTTGTGTCACTAAAGGAGTAGCACGAATTTATATTCCAGTTGTTGAGATTAATTAGAAAAAGTCACGGGCCTCCTCTACGTCCACTCAGACTTAACGATTACAGTATCTGATTCAACGTGTCACGATGATGTCTTTGGGTCGTACATGTTGCAAGGTCCATTTGCTCCATTCGCAATCTTCTCCATGCAGCCGACGTTTAAGTACAATGATAATAGAATGTTGACGTCGATGACTGAATGACGAATGTGAGTGCTTGCATTGCATGATGATTAAGGCTACTGTCCCAGGTACTGCCCAGTGCTGATGGCATCCCCCCCACTGTGCCCTAGGTCTCACTTTCCCCCCAGAATCCTGTGCTGAAGAAGCGGAGTCAACGGAGTACCACCACCTCATAATATAGGTTTTTGGGTCAGATCGCGTTATTTATAAATGTGTCGTAACCCTCCACCACCCGACACGGCCAAACAGTAAAAAATGTGTCACGTTTTCAAAGGACAAATTAATTGACTTCTTTAGCCCACCGGTGTGCTGAAGAGAGAATCAACAGCATTTTAAAATGTGAGTAGCACGACGTTTCGCTGATAATTACAATCAGCTTCATCGGGCAAGAATGGTGAAGCTCTCCTGTTGCTTCCGGTCTTAAATAGAGCAGCAGCATCAGGGTGACGTCATCATTTAATTCAATCTGGTGCAGTGATTCGAGGCAAGGAGGGGGGGAGGTTATTGTAATTATATCGATTGGTAATCATTCAATTGTTATTCATTGCTATTTCCTTATAAGGAATTGTATTTATTTGATAATATGCTTCCAGGCCGCGCTAAGCCTGTAGCTGTCAGAGCGATTGAAGTTATTTCTGTTTCTCTCCATTTCAATGGATTCTCTAATTAGTCTTGGCCAGTAATAATTAGTTTTACACAACACTTCAACGTCATGTCGATGACTCAATGACCTACCACCACCTCCCTCCACGACGACTTCCTCCTGATGGCCGAGCAGCCCCTCCTCGGATACGAGCAGCTGTGCGGCTGCTGCTGCAGCTGCAGCTGCTGCTGCTGCAGCTGCTGTCTGGGCTTGTGCGGGCCTCAGCTATCCGAGGTCGACCAGTTCCTACAGTCGGGTTCTGGCTGTCAAGGACATCTGCCTCGAGGTGGAGCCGGCCATGAAGCCACCTCAACGACCCGGGCGGCAAAGAGCAGCTGGACCCGACAGCAGCAGCAGCTGCTTGACTCATCCCGCAAAGCGCCACTGAGCTGCGGTGGGGGTGACGACGCGGGCACAGAGGGCCTGCTCCTTCTTCGTGGCTGAGGAGCAGGTCTACGAAGGGAGAAGCCACCTGACAGTCAACCTCTCAGTGTTCTAATGACTTTTGCCGGAGGCCTTTAATCGGCAAAAAGCGCTGCCACGGGGAGAAGACTTCTCTCTGCCTCTCCTCCATCCTGCCCGACCGTCTCACCCCCCACTCACAATAAGCCCCAACCCCCCACCATCACTATTCACCTGTGCCCTCCGCCACCACTATCCGCCCCACCCCCCACCATCACCATTCGCCTTACCCTCCACCATCACTATCCGCCCACCCCTCACCATCACCCACTCTCCCTCATCACTGTCTACCCCATCCCCCACCATTACACCATCCGCCTTAACCCCCACCATCACAATCCGCACCACCTCCCACCATCACCATTCGCCTCACCCCCCACCTTCACCAAATTTGTAAAACATAATGTATTGGGGCAGGAGGCAATGTGGAGTACCATTGTACATAATTCGGAATATTGGATAATTCGGCAAAGGCCAGAAACGCCATATGCGTCGCATTAACAAGCGTTTACATGCACAATGTTTAAGTGTGCGGTGAGCACATATAATGCACCTTTTTCTCATGCACCGCAATCCACGTTCACACGTACGACGCGTTGACAACTGCGGTGAGAAACACAAGTTTGATTAATTCTTTAAACAAAACTCGCCCACGCCCGCCCACCACGACCAAAATGGCAATGTCCACCAAAGGGAGCTCCAGAGAGCCCCTCTAAAGCAACCATTTCGGTCCGGTGCAGTTCCATCCACTTGTGTGAGTGCGTGTCTTGGTGCGTGCATCGCTGCGTATTGTTCGTGCGAATCGTTCACTGCAGTGTTCTCTGTTCATGTCAACGTGAAATCCATTGGGGTCTCGATACCCGAGCCACGGCGGGACGTTTGTAGCGTCACGCCTACGATGCCGTGTGCGGCGCGGACGGGCAGACCGCACCGGAGGATCAGCTCCGGCGAGCGCATCGGCGGCGGCGGCGGATTGTGGCGGAGTGACCAGCAGCGGTAGTCTTTGTCCGCGGTAACCATCGCAAGTGCCGGTACCCGCCGGCGATGTAACGATGGACATCAGCGACGGGACGCCTCGCTAGCCAGCGTCGCGAGCGGCGGTCTTCGCAAGTGCCGGTACCTGCCGGCGATGTAACGATGGACATCAGCGACGGGATGCCTCGCTGGCCAGTGTCGCGAGCGGCGGTCTTCGCAAGTGCCGGAGCGGTGGGCGGCAGTGGAGGTGGAGGAACGTGGGTCTGGTTGTGGCCGCATCCAGGTGGCATCGTTGCGCGCACGTACAGTGATACCTCGGTTCACGAACTTAATTCGTGAACTTGACTCTGGTCGCGAACCGAGGCACATTTATCCGGTTAATCCGTTCTGACCTTTTTTTTTTGGTTTTTGAAGCACAAAAATATGAAACAAATTACAATACACATTAGTACTGTACAGTATAGTAATGTATAAAGAGAGAACACTAACTCTGCTTGAGATGACTTCAGTAAGCACTCAAACGGGTGAACTGTACAATACAGTAAGTACAGTATTGTACAGTACTGTATGTGCTAAAAAGCACACCAAAAAGCAAAAAGTCACTGAAAGTGTCTTCACAGTACTCACAGTACTTCTTTCTGTGTCTCTTCTTCTCTCCACGATCTTCCTACAGGAAGTCACGACCACGTGACAGCCTGGAAATAGCATTAAAATAGCCGCGGCTCCTGTTCGTGAACCGAAGCGGAGTTCGTGAACCGGAGCATATTTTTATGAACTTTTCTGTTCGTGAACCGAGTTGTTCGTGAACAGAAACGTTTGTGAACCGAGGTATCACTGTCTTTCCCTCCGGGCTGCAGGTGGGATCCATTGGCCATCATCATGAGCGCTGGTCTCCGCCGGCTCTGGAGGGGTAGGTGGCAGTGGAGGTGGGCTCAGATGGCTGGGTTCTTGAGCCTCGGTCTCCACCGGCTCTGGATGAGTAGGCGGCAGTGGAGGTGGGCTCAGATGGCTGGGACCTTGAGCCTCGGTCTCCACCGGCTCTGGATGAGTAGGCGGCAGTGGAGGTGGGCTCAGATGGCTGGGTCCTTGAGCCTCGGTCTCCGCCGGCTCTGGATGAGTAGGCGGCAGTGGAGGTGGGCTCAGATGGCTGGGTTCTTGAGCCTCAATCTCCACCGGCTCTGGATGAGTAGGCGGCAGTGTAGGTGGGCTCAGATGGCTGGGTCCTTGAGCCTCGGTCTCCACCGGCTCTGGATAAGTAGGCGGCAGTGGAGGTGGGCTCAGATGGCTGGGTTCTTGAGCCTCGGTCTCCACCGGCTCTGGATAAGTAGGCGGCAGTGTAGGTGGGCTCAGATGGCTGGGTCCTTGAGCCTCGGTCTCCACCGGCTCTGGATGAGTAGGCGGCAGTGGAGGTGGGCTCAGATGGCTGGGTTCTTGAGCCTCGGTCTTCGCCGGCTCTGGATGAGTAGGCGGCAGTGGAGGTGGGCTCAGATGGCTGGGTTCTTGAGCCTCAATCTCCACCGGCTCTGGATGAGTAGGCGGCAGTGTAGGTGGGCTCAGATGGCTGGGTCCTTGAGCCTCGGTCTCTGCCGGCTCTGGATGAGTAGGCGGCAGTGGAGGTGGGCTCAGATGGCTGGGTCCTTGAGCCTCGGTCTCCACCGGCTCTGGATGAGTAGGCGGCAGCGGAGGTGGGCTCAGATGGCTGGGACCTTGAGCCTCGGTCTCCACTGGCTCTGGATGAGTAGGCGGCAGTGGAGGTGGGCTCAGATGGCTGGGACCTTGAGCCTCGGTCTCCGCCGGCTCTGGATGAGTAGGCGGCAGTGGAGGTGGGCTCAGATGGCTGGGATCTTGAGCCTCGATCTCCACCGGCTCTGGATGAGTAGGCGGCAGTGGAGGTGGGCTCAGATGGCTGGGACCTTGAGTCTCGGTTTCCACCGGCTCTGGATGAGTAGGCGGCAGTGGAGGTGGGCTGAGATGGTTGGGTGCTTGAGCCTCGGTCTCCGCCGGCTCTGGATGAGTAGGCGGCAGTGGAGGTGGGCTCAGATGGCTGGGACCTTGAGTCTCGGTCTCCGCCGGCACTGGAGGGGTAGGCCGCAGTGGAGGTGGGCTCAGATGGCTGGGACCTTGAGCCTCGGTCTCCACCGGCTCTGGATGAGTAGGCAGCAGTGGAGGTGGGCTCAGATGGCTGGGAACTTGAGCCTCGGTCTCCACCGGCTCTGTATGAGTAGGCGGCAGTGGAGGTGGGCTCAGATGGCTGGGTCCTTGAGTCTCGGTTTCCACCGGCTCTGGATGAGTAGGCGGCAGTGGAGGTGGGCTGAGATGGTTGGGTGCTTGAGCCTCGGTCTCCGCCGGCTCTGGATGAGTAGGCGGCAGTGGAGGTGGGCTCAGATGGCTGGGAACTTGAGCCTCGGTCTCCACCGGCTCTGGATGAGTAGGCGGCAGTGGAGGTGGGCTCAGATGGCTGGGACCTTGAGTCTCGGTCTCCGCCGGCACTGGAGGGGTAGGCGGCAGTGGAGGTGGGCTCAGATGGCTGGGTCCTTGAGCCTCGGTCTCCACCGGCTCTGGATGAGTAGGCGGCAGTGGAGGTGGGCTCAGATGGCAGGGACCTTGAGCCTCGGTCTCCACCGGCTCTGTATGAGTAGGCGGCAGTGGAGGTGGGCTCAGATGGCTGGGTCCTTGAGTCTCGGTTTCCACCGGCTCTGGATGAGTAGGCGGCAGTGGAGATGGGCTGAGATGGTTGGGTGCTTGAGCCTCGGTCTCCACCGGCGCTGGAGGGGTGGGCGGCAGTGGAGATGGGCTGAGATGGTTGGGTGCTTGAGCCTCGGTCTCCACCGGCGCTGGAGGGGTGGGCGGCAGTGGAGGTGGGCTCAGCTGGCAGGGATCTTGAGCCTCGATCTCCGCCGGCACTGGATGAGTAGGCGGCAGTGGAGGTGGGCTCAGCTGGCAGGGATCTTGAGCCTCGATCTCCGCCGGCACTGGATGAGTAGGCAGCAGTGGAGGTGGGCTATGCTGGCAGGCATCCTCGGCGCTGGTCTCCGCGGGTGCTGGGGGCGTGGGCAGGAGTGCAGGCTGGGCAAGTGCGCCTGGTTGCGGCCGCGTCTGCTGGCAGCGTTGCATGCACGTCTCTTTCTCCGGGCTGCAGCCGCCCGAAGAGCAGGGCCGAGGGCTCTCCTGTGACCTCTGACCCTGCCCACAATTGGCGCCTCCACCATCATCGTCGGTTTCCGCACAAAACAAACAGGATTGAATATATATTCTTGGTTCTTACGGTAAAGTCACGTAGAAGGGAGATGATAAAATAATATAAATATAAAACGATAAAAAAAATTCTCACGACGTTTCGGCTGCAACACAAGGAATCATCATCAGGTGTGAAATCCACAGCAAGAACATTTGAAAAAAGTGGCGGTTTTTCCTAACGCCAGCACCAAGGACAGCAATTTGGCAGTTTGCCAGATGGACGAGTCCATCTATGTTCGAAAAAGAGGATTGAATGTCTTCAAAAGTAACAAAGATAAAAGTGGAAACCCTGAAACTGCCTTCTCAAGCCACTATTCTAGAGGGCATGTGGCCTACGTTACACTGCAAAAAAATGGGAATACCCACACTTTTCATCACTAAACAGTCCAATGAATGATAATTGTTTTTTTACCCTTCTATCTGGCAACAAAACTGACACCTTTTTTACAAGGAGTCATGTTTGCATAGACCACAATACCTGCAGTCACAATGCAAACAAAAAGCGTAACTCTGTATGCACTGTCCTTGAAGGTGATTGGTTCCACACCCCGAGACAGCTTTTCTTAGAGCCTAGTCTCACATGAATGGCTGTGGTGTAGTCATTTATGCTGCGCGGTGGACAGACTAGGAGGCATTTAAAGAAACTTGGTTTCAACTAGAAACGTTGGGACATGGAATGGAACCCGGCAACATCTGGATTGCAAGTGCAGTATATGGTGGCAAACGTATCTTTGAGCTTGTCATCCTTTTCCTTTATATATTTGTAACTAGCTGTACAACCCCGGCTTTACCCGGGACCTGGATCCACCACGCCCGGCCGCCTTTGTCTCCCCAGTGGCGATATTCACACACATCAGTTACTCGTTTGAGGCTGAGTCGACCTAGGGGAGGCCCAAGACGGGTTGAAATAACCGTTGCCAGTGGTGGCCGTGAGCGGGAATCGAACTCGGGTTGCCGGGTTCGTAGCGCGGCGCGCTAACCGCTACATTACAATGCGTGACGCTTCCATGTGCGCGGGTCACGTGACAGATGTGACATCACAGCTCACTTGCCGTGCAAAAAATATATGCATTATTGAGCCCCCCCCCCCCAAAAAAAAAGTATTATAATTTTTGCATGGTGTAGTCTGGAAAGTACCCACATGGCAAATTTCCAGTTTGTTGCATGTCGGGAAGTACGCTAAACATTTCGAACAGACGCACACAATCACAACTTTGCCTTTTATATATGTAATAAAGGACTCGACCACGAAGTCTGGCTTGGTGTCCTTTATTCGGTTCTTCCTCGTAACCCACACGGCTGTCCTTCTATAAGGCTTCCATACCGATACTGATACTGCTGTTAACCCCGTCACGCCAACAGCTCCTCTGTTGGTCTCCCGTTGTTCTCGTAGCCTTGCTGGCTGTTACCCTCACGCAGCCCCCCCACTGGCTGCTCTCTCTGCAGTTTATCCTCTCGTCGCTCTCGTAGCCTCTCTCTCCTCTCGTCGCTCTCGTAGCCTCTCACACACACAGCCTCGCCGGCTGTATTCACTGCAGCTCCTCGACCGCCTTCTCTCCAGCAGCCCCACTGCTGTCTTCTCTCGCAGCTCCGCTGGCTGCTCCCTTAGCTGGCCACCGCTGGCCGCCCGTGCCACTCCTGGCTTCGCCCAACGTGGCCTTACTCTGGTCCAGTCTCACTCTCTCTCCCCTCCTCTTCCGGTCTCATCCCTTAAGAACCTTAACCTTGCTCCCACGTCACCTAACTCCACCTCTCCGTGACGTCACATCCGGGAGGTCGCCCGCACCCGCATTACATATATATGGAGATTTTTATTGAACAAAACGCGAGCCCGTTGCAGCCCGTCAAGCATTTTGCATTTCCGGTGGAGTCAACAGTCACGGAGAACCGTCAAATTTCGGTGGCGAACGGCGTTTGAACCCGTCATTAACCTGCACCTTTCGAAGACCAGCTCGGACTAACCATCTTGGTGAAGTATGGTCAACACAACCCCACGGACACCACGGCATGGGGGAGGCCTTCATCCAGCAGTCCATTGATTAAAAGGGCTGTACAAGTGTAGAGGATTCATACTCTTAGGTTTTTTTCGGTATACAGTGATCCCTCGTTTATCGCGGTTAATGGGGACCAGAACCCCTCGCGATAGGTGAAAATCCGCGAAGTAGGATTGGCCCCCTAGGAATTTCCGTATATGTGTGTGTGGGTACCAGAATGTTTAAAATATGTATATTTATACTTTATATATGTATTTTACTCAAATCTAATTATAAAACCTTTATATTATACATTCTCTCTCATACGATACGTATTATGGTGTTCTACACTCACCAATGACAGTAGTATCTTGAGACTTGACTCCAGTAATGACGACAATGACGATGACAATGATGACGATGACAGACCTGTGCAGTTCGATGAATGATGATGATGATGGTGTTACTGCACAGGTATAATGAGGCCTTTAAATCAGTTCGAAAAATCCGCGATGCACTGAGGCCGCGAAACTTGAACCGCGAAGTGGCGAGGGATTACTGTAGTCACTTTATTATTTATTATTATAATGTTTTCCTACGTGACTTTACCGAAAAAAAACCTTAGAGTATGAATCCTTGCAGTCACGAAAGCTGCAAATCTAGAATTAAGTGTAGAGGAGTAGAATAGGGAAGTGACGTCATGTGTGCTGTCCAGTGGGATGACGTCACGGGACGTGACGCGCTCTGTGCTGCGCAATGACGTCACATCTCGAGTATAAAGGGGGGAACCCCGTGACATAAGCGGTGTCGTAGTTTCGGGTCGGAAGAGGGTGGAACGGGGAGCCAGTGGCAAGAGGGTAGGGATAGTGGATATAGCACAGCGCCAGGGCTGGACGTGCCTCTCAGTCGGCCGTGTTGGCTGATCCCACGGCCGGCGCAGAGGAGACGGCACACGGCAACTGGCTGTGTTGGGACCCAGTTCAAGTTCATTTATTAGGTATAGCCCTGTGAGCCATTCGGCTCTTGAATCGGGTGCAACCGCAGCAAACAAAAACATGAACAAGAAAACGTCTTAACGTGACTAAGTGCAAACAGCCGTCCTGCTTGCGTTTTGACCAAAACGTCGTGAGAATTATTTTATTGTTTTATTTTTATTATTTCCCTTCTACGTGACTTTACCAAAGAACCAAGAAGATGAATCCATGCAGTCACGAAAGCTTTAAATCGAAACCCTGGGAAGTTGTTACACACTGGTGTAGGCCCATAACTTGAATAAACCCTCGGCGAAAGCCCTTGAACTTGTCTCTGAGTGCGTCCTGGGAACTCTTCAACGCAAGCATAGCCACCCATGCCGCTTGACATAAATTGGCCTGCTTTTGACTGCCCTCAGTATTATGGCTTTACATCGAGTTGTTTAGTTTGTTGTGCTTACCTCGCGCAAACCAGAGGTCGCAAACGGGTTTTGATTCCTTACCCGTACCCGGCCGCACCAGGGTCGCAAACGGGTATCGGGTACCTGATTGCGACCTCTGGGATGAAGCCATGTTGCAGGCGCGGGTGGGTTGATTTTAGGAACTTGAATTGTGAGAAAAGACAAGACGTTGGGAAATGAGTGACAAATAGTTACTCACCAGTGACTCACGGTCTACCCGTACCCGGCCGCACCAGGGTCGCAAATGGGTACCCGTACCCGGCCGGGTACGGGTAGCCGGGTATCGGGTAGGGTACGGGTATCGGGTACCCGGTTGCGACCTCTGGCGCAAACTGATCACCCTCGCAGTAGCTTTTGGCTAACCGGATGCGCTTCTTGCGGCCGTCTGGAACGTTCCTCCTGACATTTAGAAAGCCACTTTTAGATCAAAATTTTAAACAAATTTTGTCTGACCCAGTCCTGGGCCTCGCCAAGGTCGACTCGTCCTTTAAATGAGCACCTGGTGCGGTGTGTCGTAAACATTGCCACTGGGAGAGACAAAGGCATCCGGGCGCCGTGCCGGCCTTCGTAGGTGCTGCTCGCTGACAGCACTTGCCCCGACACTCTGTTAAGGCTACACAGGGGTGGGGTGGTGGGTGGATTCTTTGTCTTATTTATTGTTTTGTTAATTTCGCTTAACGAGCAGTGGAGGTGGCTCCCGTTGAATGCACGCGCGAGTTGGAGAACACTCGGGACGTGCCTCTTGATGGCGGCACGGGCTGTGTAGGGCCCTGGCCTGGCTTGAGTTGTCCAAGATTCGCGTGCGGCGCTGAAATTCGACCGCATCGTGGCCGGCTGTGCGTCGTCGAAGACCAAATCTCTCGGAAGCGGAGTCGGAAGATTTATTGACGAACGGCAAGAGGAGGAATTCGATGAGCTGTGAAGCGTTTTTTTATTTTTAAATCCTTTATATTAAGTTTGCTTGCTTGCTTACGACCGTGCAAATCTTTCGCTCGTTTTTTAACCCACTTCCCGTGATCCAATCGAGCTGACATTTTGCACACAGACTCGTTGTGCGAGACAATTAATGTTCGTGAAAAAATGTTTCCTAAATTTTACACTGTTTAGGGAAAACAAATTAAATATTTAATTACCAATTGCTTAATACTGGCAGACAATCATCTGACCCATAGGTGGCAGCCATCTCAAGCCAGAGGACGAGAGGACTCTAGCCGCCACGCATATAAAGGATTTATAGTGAAAAACTTTGTTTTTACGGGTTATACTTGTTTATTTTTAGAGATGTCCAGACCACACCAAGACAACAACAACAACAGTCCCAGACCCCACAACAAGACAACAACAACAACAGTCCCAGACCACAACACCAAGACAACAACAACAACAGTCCCAGACCCCACAACAAGACAACAACAACAACAGTCCCAGACCACAACAACAACAGTCCCAGACCACACCAAGAAGACAACAAC